GTCCAAGCCATCATTTTCTCTCACCTGAATTAAAATTGCCTATTAAATTATCTTCCCATTTTATTGAAATCTCCTCCCCCTCCATATCAGGGGTCCCCAAGACCAAGCACAGTTTTAGTGATTTGCAAGGAAGACTGAGGGCTCAGAATATAATCATGCAGCTATGATTTATGATAGCAAAATGATCCAAAGCAAAATCAACAAAAAGAAAAGACATGTAGGGCAAAGTCCAGAGGAAATCAGGCCCGAACTTCCAAGGGTCCTCTCCCACTGGAGTCAACATTGCATTGTGACAACATTAAGTGAAATGTTGCTAACTATGGAAGCTTATGAATGACTCTGCCCCCAGGAATTTTATTGGAAGCTAGTCTCTTAATCACTGCCTGGCATGTGCCAAAATTCCAGATTCCTCAAAGGAAAGCAGATGGTTCTGAATTGCTATGACTTGAATGTTTTTGTCCTCCCAAAATTCATGTGTTGAAAGCCTAACTCACAAGGTGGTGGTATTAGGAGGTGATTAAGGTCTTAGCAGCAGAGTCCTCATGAATGGGATTTGTGTCCTTATTAAACAGGCAAGAGACTCCTCATCCTTCCCACCATGCAAGGACACAGCCATCTATGAGCAACAGAGCCAGACCCCTAATTGATAAAGAATCTGCCAATGCTTTGGTCTTCGACTTCCCAGCCTCAAAAATTGTGAGCAGCTTTTGTTGCTTATAAGCCTCTTAATTTATGATATTTTCTTATACAGCCCATAAAGACTAATAAGATTATCATAAGGTACATTGTACACTTTACATACAATGAGTCATTCTTATCAGTTGGGTGATAGGAACCCTCCCCAAATCTAAGTTCCAGCCAAGGACCAACAAGTAAGCTGGCCTTTCAAAGGATAATAATCAAGCCTGCTATGTTAACTCTCTTCTTCCAACCTATTCTTCTGTCAATTGCTAGCAGGAATCTTCTTAAAATATGAATCAGAGTATGTGCATCATATACTTGGACTAAAATTCAAATTCTTTCCCATGGTGCACAAGTCCCCATTTAGCATCAAAACAGCATTCCTCTCTAAACTCTTGCCACTGTTCTCAGCATTACCCTCAAGCGAAACTGGCCTCTAAGTTTCTAGAACATCACCACCAGATAGAATGTTCCATGATGATGAGAATGTTCTTTTACACTGTTCAGGTGTCCATTGGCCCCCACCAATCACATGTACCTATTGAGCATGTAAAATGTGAGGAACTGACTTTCTAATTTTATTTTAAATTTAAATAGCCACATATGATTAGTGGCTATTATATTGAGCAGGGCAATTCTAGAAGATATCAAAATTGTCCCATTTTAAGACCTTTCTTTGTGTATGTAGGAAATTAATGCAATGGTAGACTTCAATTACATTATCAGACAAGGTATCCCAAATATTGAAGAACAGGAGGGCTAACAGACTAAATTAAAATGCTTGAACCACACACACAGTTTATTAAATCAACTTAAAATACAGTGTAAAGCAAGGGGGAAAGAAATGGTATAATTTCAAATATTATGATGAAAGTGTACGAGGAAGGTGGAAATATTAGAATTTCTGTGTTGCATCAGTCTTCTCAGCTGATGGGCCAGAGTGAGGTTCAAAGAAAGGGGTCACAATGAGAAGTTTGCCTGGGGTCATGTATGGACATTTATTCTACCAGAAGGACTCAGGAGAGACAAGTACACATGACTTCTAGGTCAACTCGCAAATGGACGTGTTGAACAAAACATGGCTTTTGTTTGTTTTTGTGGTGCTGGTTGAACACAGGGCCTCACACATGCTAGAAAAACACTAAACTACTGAACTACATCCCCAACTCTACAAATATGGGTTTTATTTAGGCCATAAGTTTACATTTTTGGTCAGAAGACACATGAACCAGAATAGTTATTACCAATGAATGGTTAAAACCTTATAAATAGGGGCTGGGGCTTGGGCTTAAGGTAGCGCACTTGCTTGGCATGTGTAAGGCACTGGGTTTGGTTCTCAGCACCACATATAAATAAATAAAAATAAAGGTCCATCAACAACTAAAAAAAATGTTTAACCTTATGAATATTAAACACTCACATATAGTCAGTCTATCCTGGACATTAATTGTCTGGTATACGTTTAATTTGTTATGAATACTTAGTGCCTAGGTGTTTTGTGTATATTATGCCTCATTAATATTAATTATATTAATATTAATCCTTTTATTTCCATCTACATTTAACATACACATGCTCCACCCACTAATTACTTAATACATTTGAATTTCATCTATCTACCTTATTTTTTAAATTTTCACCTATAGCATAACTTACTATTCTCAAACAGTATAACAAATGCACTTTACATCTCTACACATATTTCTTCTCTGTAAAGTGACCTTTATCTGGCTCATCCCATAATAAGCTCCTATAGATTCTTTAGGTCTCAATGAAAATGTCCCTTCTTCTGAGAGGCCCTCCCTGTGAGTTATAGATTAAATTTAATCCTCATCAAGTTCTTACATTGAAGCCCTAACCCCCAATGTGACTGTATTTTGTAATAAGGCCTCCCCAATTCAATAGAATTGATGACCTTATAAGAGGACAAGACATTAGACCTCTCTCAGTCTGTCTATCTGTATCTCTGTCTCTCCACACTTAAGACATTTCATGAGAAAATATAGCAAGAAATCAGCTGTCTACAAACCAGGAAGAAAGACTTTACCAGAAAGCTAACTGATCTTGACCTTCTAACCTCTAGAATGATGAGAAAATAAGTTTTTGTCATTTAAACCACCCAGTCAGTGATCTATTGTTATGGCAGCCTCCATGTTGCTTTTACTTATTATTATTTCTGAAGCCAAAAATGTGGGTTTTTTTCCCTCACACTAACCAATTCTTGAACTCTTCATATACCAATGGGTTATCAAATAATTCAATTGACTTCTGACCCAATCTGTCTAGATTCAGCAGCATATTCTACGAATTAAAGACTCAAACCTCAAAACTGCTCTCTCATTTCTGATGCCAGCTCAAGTCCTGATTGCCATCTATACTTCTGATCAACCAGCTATAACTTAGGTGTTCCCATTATTTCCTCTTCAGGTTTGATAATTTGCTAGAATGGTTCATGGAAATCAGAGAAACATTTTATTTGCTATTATGAAGACTATGACTCAGGAATAGCTAAGTGGAAGAAATGGATAAGGTAAACAGCCATAGAAGTGGGGAGTGGAGCTTCTATGCCCTCTCTAAGTACTGATATGTTCACTAACCTGGAAGATCTCTGAATCCTGTCCTCTTGGAGTTTTATGGAGGTTTAAAAATTCATGGTGGAATCATACTAGGCAAGTGTTCTACCACAGCGCCAATATATTAAATTTTTTGAGGAACCTCCATACTATTTTCTATAGCAGTGGCGCCATTTTACATTACAACCAACAATGCATAAGTGTTCAATTTCTCCACATCCTTGTTGAAATTGGATCTTCCTTGCTCTTGCCATTCCTCCCTTACTTGCTCCTGCCTTGCTTCTCTCTCTTCTTTTTTTGGGGGTGAGGGGATATCCAGGATTCAGCTCAGGGGCACTCAACCACTGAGCCACATCCCCAGCCCTATTTTTTTTTTGTGTGTGTGTGTGTGTGTGTGTATTTTATTTAGAGACAGGGTCTGACTGAGTTGTTTAGCTGTTTAGCATCTCACTTTTGCTGAGGCTGGCTTTGAACTTGTAATCCTCCTGCTTTGGCTTCCTGAGCTGCTGGGATTACAGGTGTCCATCACTGCACTGCACCTCGCCTTCCTTCTCTCTTTCTTAATGATAGCTACCCTAATAGATATGAAATTGTATGTAATCATGGCTTTGATTTGCAATCTCTAATGATTAGTGATTTTGAGCATCTTTTCATGTGCTGATTTGACTATCTGTTTATTCTCTTTGAATAAATTCAAGTCCTTTTTCTGTTTTTTAATTGGGTTGTTTTTATGTTGTAGAAATTCTTTATATATTCTAGCTATTATTACCTTATCAGATAAATGTTGGCTAATATTGCCTCCCATTCTGTGAGTTGCTTTTTCACTCTATTGGAGGTATCCGTTGACACACAAAAATTTAATTTTGATTAAGTCCAGTTTTATTGATTTTTTTTCCTTTGCTGTCTGTGCTTTTGGTGTATATCTAAGAAATTATTGCCACATACAATGTCATAAAGTTTTATTCAGTGTTTTCTCCTAAGAGCTTTGTAGTTTTGATTTTAATGCTTAGATCTTTGACCCATTTTGAATTATAAATTGAATATGATGTCAGATATTGATGTTGTAAGGATGCAACTTCATTGTTTTCCATGTTGATATTCAATTTTCCCAGAATTATTTGTTGAAATGTCTGTCCTTTCTCCATTGACTGGTCTTGTCACTCATATTAAAAATTATTTGAAAAAAAATCATTTGAACATGTATGCAATGGTTTATTTCTGGACTCTCTGTCTTTATGCCACTCCTGCACTGTTTTGATTATTGTAGCTTTGTAGTAAGTTTTAAAATCAGGGAGCATGAGTCTTCCAACTTCATTATTGAAACTAAATTTTTAATCCACCATCTTTTTAAAATTTGTTCTTTTTAGATAGACATGACAGTAGAGAGTATTTTGATATATTATACATATGTGGAGTATAACTTCCCATTCTCGTGATTGTACATGATGTGGAGTTACACTGGTTGTGCATTTGTATATAAACACAGGAAAGTTATGTCTGATTCATTCTACTGTCTTTCCAATTCCTGTTCCCTCTTTCTTCTCTTCTTCCTCCTTTGTCTAATCCAATGAAATTCTATTCTTCCCTCCCAACCCCCTTATTGGGTATTAGCATCTGCATATTAGAGAGAATATTTAGCCTTTGGTTTTTTGGGATTGCCTTATATCAGCATGATAGTCTCAAGTTCCATTCATTTACTGGCAAATGCCATACTTTCATTCTTCTTTATGGCTGAGTAATAGTCCACTGTGTATACACCACATTTTTGGTGTCCATTCATCGGTTGAAGGGCACCTAGGCTAGTTCCATTGCTTAACTATTGTGAATTGATCTGCTACAAACATTGATGTGGCTGTGTCACTATAGTGTGATGTTAATCCACTATCTTAAATCATTCATAGGAGTTGTCATCTCAGTGACAATGTAAAAATACCTGTTCATATCTGTTATTTATAATGAGAACTAATCCTCTTTGTAAATTCTTAACAGGACAGTGTCCAGGAACAGCAGTCTTAGGTTGGCATCTTTGTATTTCCTTTATTCTTCCTAGACAAAGCTCTTACTCACGATTGAATTAGAATTTGTAGTATCCTAGTCTTCTGTTCAGGCTGTCACTGCTGTACTGGGAAATCCGCCAAAGAAGACTTCCTGGATTCAGTTTCATTTAGGTAATTCTCTTACTTTGTACAGATTCTCTTAGTTTTCCTAGAATAGAGAAGAGAATAAACATATTCAAAACAAGTTGCTTGGGATTTTTCCCAGGCAAGGTTAGATTAATAAAAAACAAAAATCAATGAGGGAAAAACCATGACAGAAAGCTGAAGCCAGACTCTGGTAACTGAAGAGGAGCCTTGGTTGTTTTAAATGATAAAAGGAGAATCAAGGATATTTTTGTGTGACCTTTGAGATTCTCTTTCCATTGCCCCAGTCTCAGAGATTGAGGACGCCTCTTCAGATGTAGGCATGTCGCCCCATGGATTCAGCTACACTCACCTGTTCCTTTGTGATATTACCCCTTTGCCCTGTTTGGGATAGAATGTTCCATGGAAACGCCCTTTGTGTATCTCTTTCTCTTGCTCTGCCTTTGGGTGTGGCTTTCCTAGATGTCAGTCAACCTGCTGGCAGCAGACATCAGGAAACTAGACTCAACCTCCTGAAGCCTGACCCCATGCCTCATTTGAATGGCTTCTCCTCAATAAAAGGATTTAGCATGTGTGCTCTCCCTCTCTTTCTGTGGACCTTTATGGTCAGAGGAGCCATCACAGGAACCCAAAGAAAAAGGTATCTCTGTCTCTTGTGTGGTTATTTCGTGCAGCTCAGTTCCCCCGGAGTGACCCTGTTTTAGTCATGAGAAATGTGACAATAGCTCTAATAATATTATAAGATTTTTAACGTTTTCTAAATATTATTTCTTTAATTCTCTAATTATCAGAGAATTGTGTAAAACCCATCTATATACATAGGTTTCTTTTTTATTTGTCCTGCTAAATTAAATTATAAGGTCCTAGAAATATGCTCTCTCTATGTGTGTGTATGTGTGTGTGTATCTTATATTGTGTGCATGTATGAATATGTAACAATGAATCCCACTACTACATATGATTATAATGCAGCAATAAAAATATAGAAAAAATGAAAACATATCTTATTCAGCTTATTCCTCACAGTTCACTTTATCTTTCTTTTTTATTTTTCCTTTTTTAGCAGTGCTGGGGATTTAACTCAGGGAATTCTACCACTGAACTACATCCCCAGCTATTTTATTTTAAGACACAGTCTCACTAAGGAAAAAAAAAAAAAAAAGAATCTCACTAAGTTGCAGAGGCTGTCTTTGAACTTGAGATCCTCCTGCCACAGCCTCCCAAGTAGTTGGGATTACAGGCATGAGCCACTATGCCTGGCTAGCACTATATCTTTCATAAGTTAAATAAATATTTGAATGAAGAGAGAATGAATTCAATTATCTATTTTTGTTTTGAAGATTATTTTTCAAGAAGACTTGTTTCTTTCCTTGTGAGATAAATATTCTTGAGCTCAATGATAATGATTGCATTATGGCTCTAAGAAGTCCCATTGCCTTCCTGTATTTTGCCCCATCTCTATTCCCTTTAGTTAAAGAATGACTGATGGCGCTGGGGCTCAAGCGGTAGTGCGCTTGCCTGGCATGCGTGTGGCCCAGGTTCGATCCTTAGCACCACATACAAACAAAGATGTTGTGTCCGCCAAGAACTAAAACAAAAAAATAATAAATACTAAAAAATTCTCTCTCTCTCTCTCTCTTTCGCTCTAAAAAAAAAGAATGGCTGATTAGGTCTGGGTTTCATATATACTAATCTCCTTATCAAATGACTGTTCAGCCACATTCAGTGTTCTCTTCAAAATAAGCTTTTTATTTTTTTAAAATTATGAATAGGCTGAGAAGTTTTTCCAAATCTTTAAGTTCTGGTTCCTTCTTGCTTAACACTTCCGCTTTCTTTTTTTAAAATATATTTTTTAGTTGTAGTTGGACACAATACCTTTATTTTATTTATTTAATTTTATGTGGTGCTGAGGATCAAACCCAGCGCCTTGCACACCTAGGCGAGTGCTCTACTGCTGAGCCACAACCCCAGCCCTAACAATTCCTCTTTTAATTGATTTTTTTCCTTCATGCTTTTTACTATAAACAGTGAAGAAGCACTAAGGCACTGCTTCAACACTTTGCTTACAATCTCCAGTTAAATATTCAGTTAGATATTTAGCTCTTTTCTAAGACCTCACCAAAACCATCATCCTTAATATCTATATTTCTAGTATGCACCTCAAAATTCCCCCTGTCCCTACCCATTATTCAATTCCAAAGTTGCTTCTACATTCTTAGATATTGTTATAGTAGCACCTTACTCTCAGATTCAAAATCTATATTAGTCTGGGTTCCCCAGAGAAACAGAACTACTAATAATATACATATGCAAACCCATATAAAATAAGGAATCAGCTCACACAGTTATTGAGGCTGGTCTATAGTTGGTAAACTGGAGACCGAGCAAAGCCTAAGAGTTCTACTCTAAGTCCAAAGGCCTGAGAACTGATGGTACAAGTTCCAGACCAAGTCTGAGTCAGAAGGCTGATGACCAATGTCCAAGCTCAAAGGCAGTCAGGCAGAGGGCAAATTCTCCCTTACTCAGTATTTTTTTTTTTTTCCTGTTCAAGACCACTCACACTGGGGAGGGGAATCTGCTTTATTCAGTGTACTTATTTTCTAATGTTAATCTCATCCAAAATGCCTTGTAGACACACCCAGAAAAATGTTTAACCAAATATCTGTGCACTTCATGGCTCCAGCCAAATTGATACATAAAATTAATTATCATAGTGGACTAGCAGTTTCTTTCTTTTTAAAATATTTTATTTTTTAGTTGTAGTTGGACACAATACCTTTTTTTTTACTTATTTATTTTTTTTATGTGGTGTTAAGGATCGAACTCAGGGTCTCTCACGTGCGAGGCGCACACTCTACCACTGAGCCACTATCCCAGCTCTGAACTAGCAGTTTCTATCACAAGAAATATTGGTGAAAACATTAAATTTTATTTTCCTTCTGTTTTAGCTGAAAGTTTTTTCTTGTTATAAAAATTGTTTAATTTCAAAGATGTTATACAGATAAAGTAAATGAAATGTTTAATTCCAAGAAAAAAATTCCCTTTATACCAGGACTTTTTTTTTCCCTACTCCAGTGGCTTTTTAAATTTTTTGCATATAGTCTATAAAAACAGTACATTTCTTATATTTTGTTTGTAACCTACTATTTTCAACTTAAAATACATGCTTTGATGGTGGATGCCTGTAATCCCACCTATTCAGGAGGTCAAGGCAGGATAATCACAAGTTTGAGGCCAGTCTCCATTATTTAGCAAGACCTTCTCTCAAAATAAAAAATAAGGGGCTAGAGGTACAGTTTACTTGTAGAGTTCTTACCCACAATGTGTGAAGCCCTGGGTTGAATCCCCAGCACTCTGGAAAAAGAAAAAAGACATAAAAATAAAAAAGAAAGATGAAGATGTAGCTCAGTGGTAGAACACCTCTGGGTTCAATCCCCAGCACCTTAAATAAACACAAATACATACATACATACATACATACATATGTATATATATATATATATACACACACACACACACTGCATACACACATATATATAATTTGAACACTTTCTAAAATATTAATCTGTGACATTTTTATTCACTGCATAATAGTCTTTTAAATGGATATATATTTTTCAATCAATTTCCTTTTACCAAACATTTATTTATTTATTTAATTTTTGGTCCTGGGGATTGAAAGAAGGGGTCCTAAGGAACATTTCCAGTCCACTTTTTATTTTGAAACAGTATCTCACTAAGTTGCTGAGGTCTTCTAAATTGCTGAGGCTGGCTTTGAACTTGTGATCCTCTTGCCTCAGCCTCCTGAGTCACTAGGATTATAGGGGTACACCATCATACCTAGTCCTCATTGTTGAATAAATAGGTGGTTTCCAATTCTTCAGTATTATAAACAACTCTTTTTTAAAAAATATTTTTTTAGTTGTAGGTGGACACAATACCTTTATTTTATTTGTTTATTTTTATGTGGTACCAGGGATCAAACCCAGTGCCTCATGCATGCTAGGCAAGCATTCTGCCACTAAACCACAACCCCAGCCCTATAAACAACTCTTTTATACTCTTTAATATTTCTTTTTTTCTTTACACATTTTTTATTGGTACATTAGTTTAGTACCTCTTAATGTTTTAATTATGAAAGCAATATAGGCCCTCTCTAACTAAAATAATATGGAAGTTGGTAACATAAAAAGCAAAATTCCCTATTTTATTCACCTGTACTTGTATTTTCCAACACTTCTATTCTCCATGAGGCAAATAATACAACTACTTCTAATGGTTTACTGTGTATCTTTCTGACTCTTTTTGCTTCCTGCTTTTTTTCTTTTACATTTATTCTATAACCTGTAAACCTTTTGTTTTGTTTTTCATTCTCAGCCTCAAGTAGCCTCTTTGCTCTTCTGCTTAGTTTGGGATATCAGACAAACATATTTGTTAGAATTATATGTAAAATTCAGACAAAAAAATATATGAGAGAATGCCTCACATCTCTCTAATTAAAAAGCATGAAGTTTACTGATTATCTTTTCTGCTTTGAATTTCAGTTGCTATTAGGTCTGTGAAATCTACTTCCTGGTACTGTGTCAGACAGTTGGAAAAGTAACCTTCAAATAAGTAAAGTGTTAATATATTTACTTTTCATAAGCTAAGGGTGCACTACATTTAAGAAAATCTAAAGCTAGTTATGCACATGAGGCAGAAGTAGGAGCATCACAAGTTGGAGACTAGACTTGGGAACTTAGTGAGACTTTAGTGAAACAGGGCTGGGGATGTGGCTCAGAGGTACATCACCCCTAGATTAAATCCTCAGTACCACACACACATACAAAAAGATTTTACATTAACTTTTCATATGTTTACACAACTGACCATGAAGGGAAATTCTGTAGAACAAGAGAACAGTGATATATGTAATATATATGAGATGTGTATATATATTTATGTGTGTGTGTACTTTTTCACTCCCAGTAGGTACTAAAGTACCTGCCATGTGCGAGGTACTATATACATATTTAAAATGTAAAGATGAAAAAATACAAAGCTCTTCCAATTTTTTAAAGATTTCATGAACACTGTTGAGGAAGCACCTAATAGTTTTATAGTCTTTGGTTCAGTCTTACCTTCAAAATCTGCATTAGAACATTTTGTCTTTCAGAGATAACACAATACTGGCCTTTGTGTATTTCTCTACATATTTTCTTGCCACTGCACTGTAGTTATGTCCCAGGAGCCATGGCCACATTTGGCTCAGAAGCAAGAGGGAAATCCCCTTGTTGTCCAACCAGATGGATACTTAAGGCATTTATTCTCCCTGCAGGTCCTTTTGGTAAAACCAAGCCCAGAAATCTGACATTGCAATTCCTTCCTCCCTCCCCACATTCCTACCCTTTCTCTCCTATGAAAATTACTGAAATGCCAGGAGTTTGGTTAGGGGTGATAGAGAAGTCAGGAATGTTTTTAATCCTGTGTTCAGTGTTCTTGGTAATATTAGAAGAGCAGTAGAGCCATGAATCCAGTCATGCTCTTGGCTAAAGCAGCCTACCCTGACTTTAGTGCTCCTCACATGAAAAAAAAAAAAAAAGGCTTAGGGCTTTAGCTGTTGATAAACACAACCTAAGCCAAAATGTGACCTAACTGCCAAAACAAGCAAATGTGATCTGATCTGAATTGCCATTAATAGAAGGTTAGTGGCGGGGACAAGCAAAGTAATAGTCCCATGTTACATTCTTCGGTGGCCAGGGTCATACCTGGAGGATGGTATTTCCTCTATATTTTAACAGCCATGCAAAAGAAGTTGGAGTATGCCCAAGTTGGGCAATAGGATGATGAATGGCCTAGAAACTACATCCTTTGAGGAACAGTTGGAGGATCTGGGGTAGTTTACCCTGGAAACTAGAAGACATGGTGGTATGGGATAACTATTTTGGAACATTCACAGGACTATCATGTAGAAGAGTTGGACTGTTCTGTGTAATCTCAGCAAGCCCAACTTAGACTGATGGGTGTACATTACAAAGTGTCTGATCTCTTTTCTCCATAAAAGGAAGAAATTTCTAGACCTTATGAACATTTGAAAACAGCAGCTCTGAAAGGTAGTGACTTAACTTTAACTTGGGGGTGTAAGAAAAGAGGTTGACTGAACATCAGAAGATGAAAGGATAGGATAAGAAGTTTGAAGAGATGATCTGATCCAAGATCCTTCCAGAGTCAAAGATTCTAATGACAAAAACTTCAGAAGGTGTTACTCTTTTTTCCTCCAAGGTTCCATACAAGTATTAACCTTAGAAACTGTTAAAATAGACTCTAAGGATTCTGTATATGAAGGTTTAAGTAATAAAATGTGCAGACTAAAGATTTTTTTTTCCATTAAAAAACTCTTGGGCTGAGGTTGTGGCTCAGCGATAGAGTGCTCGCCTAGCGTGCGTGAGGCCTTGGGTTCAATCCTCAACATCACATAAAAATAAATAAATAAACAATAAAGGTATTGTGTCTAACCAAAAATATAAAAAAACTCTATATTCTTGGTGAGTTTGATTTCTCATAAAATGTCTGATCCTCTTAATATGTTGTTTTTTAAAAATATATTTTTTATAACTTTATTTCATTTATTTATTTTTTATGTGGTGCTGAGGATCGAACCCAGGGCCTTACCCATGCCAGACAAGCACTGTACCACTGAGCTACAGCCCCAGCTCCTTAATATGTTGTTTCAAGGGTACAACATTGTGATAAGATTAACTTTTCTTAAAATAATTTTTTTAAAGATGGGCACATATATTTATTTATTTTTATGTGGTGCTGAGGATTGAACCTAGTGCCTTATGTGTGCTCTATCGATAAGCTATGACCCCAGCCCTGATAAGATTACCTTTAGCCCAATATTATAAAGCAGCATTTCAGAGAATGGCAGTTTGTGGTCAAATGTCAAAGAACTAGCCCTGTGGAGCAACTGGTCTTTGGAGGTCATTAATCATTAATAATGTAGTAGCATCCAGTAAAATGTATGTGTTAGGATAGCTTGACTCTCCCCAACAGTTAATGAAGTAATGGTCATTCTCATTTACCAATGCACAAACTGGGACCCAGAGCTTCTTGCTCACCATGATTGTGCATGGGGCTGGCACTAGTGTCCAGACTGACTTTTTGTCCAATCCTCTTTCTTATATCGACTGTTTTCTTCTATATAGTATGTTTAGAACCTTTCATGAAGGCAGAATATAATTTTCCTCTCTTTTTTTTAAGAATTTTTTTTTAGTTGTAGTTGAACACAATACCTTTATTTATTTATTTTTATGTGGTGCTGAGGATCAAACCCAGGGCCTCACACATTCGAGGCAAGCGCTCTACCACTGAGCTACAACCCCAGTTTACATTTTCCTCTCTTAATGATAGTGGTTCTGTGGAGTACGCTGGCAGGTTGACTTGATCAAAGACTTGGCCTCTAACTTAAATGGTGTCTTTAAGTTCATCTTTTATCCTAAAGAAAGTTTCTAGCAGACACCAATACTGATGTCTGAGAACACTTGAGCATCTCTTTAAAAATAAAGATTCCAACACTTACTCCAAGTAAAAATTACAAGGATGTGGAGAGGGTAGTGTTTGTCCAGTGGAGTAGATTTAACTGGGTAGTGCAGCAAAAATACTTATGAGATCAGAATGAGTCAGAAAACCTGGGTTTAAGTTTGTTTTATTACCTTGCTGCCTATTGATGTGACATGTTCTTCACGTGGGGCTTCAATTTCCTAATAGTTATATAGGAATAATAATAGGACTTTTGGGGTAGTTGGGAATATTAGATATGATAATAAGTATGACAGTATAAACATTTTGCTGTTTAAAAATATGTTTATTGTATATTCTCATCAATTGTTTTCTACCCATTTTTCTCTTGGGGTATTATTGTATTTTCTCTTTACTTTCACTCCTGTTTATTGCCATAATCAGTAATAATTCAACAGAACAAGTGCCTCTGGGTGCAGCCTAGTGCTGATCTCAGAAAATACAAAGAAGCCTGAGACCAGCCCTTGTCCCAGTGTGCAGACAGCATGGTCCACAAATTGCTGTGAAAGTCAACCTGTAGACCAACAAAGGTGGGAGAGGCGTCAGTAGAGAGGGAACAGCTGAGGGAAGGCACAGCTCAAGCAGTCACTGGAGTTGTCATACTTGTTGGGCCAGTAATGTAACCTCTCAAAACCTGAATTTCCTTATCTTTAAAGAGAAATAAATAATGCCTACCAACTTACGATGATGTGAGGATTCAAAAGTAATATGTGGCTAGGTGCAGCGGCTCACGTCTATAACCTCAGCTACCGGGGAGGCTAATGTGGGAGGATCCTATATATAAAATATAAAAAATAAGGGGCTGCGTTTATAGCTTAGTGGTAGGGAGCTTGCCTAGAATGTGTGAGGCACTGAGTTAGATTCTCAGCATCACATATAAATAAAATAAAATAAAGGTCCATTGACGACTAAAAAAAATTACAAAAAATATAAAGGGCTGGAGATGTAGTTTAGTGTTAGAGCGCCAGTGGGTCCAGTCCTCAGTGTGGAGGGGTGTAAATAATATGTGTAAATATTTGTACTTGAACCGAGCACATCAAATGGCACAGGGTAAGAGTTTAATAATGTTTGCCATTGTTAATGCCGTTTAAATAATTTAATACTACCTTACTGTGATGGTCAATGCTGTCATTCCAATAATAAGTCATTGCCTGGTCGTTGGACGGAGAACAAGAGTGGCAAAGATTCATACGCCACGGTTTCAGTCTTCAGGAGCTTTAAGACGAGGCCAGCTTCACAGACCGAGACCGGCAACATCGTGACTTCTCCAAGTCCGCGCGCTAGCTCTGGGAGACACAAGGCGAACCGGGCTCCCAGGGTCACGTGGCCTGAGGCCCCGCCCCTACCAAGCGAGTTCCCGGCGGCTGCAGTAGCGGCTGCTGCGCGTGCGCCGAGCCGCGCGCTCTGCGGCGCGGTCCACGGTGGAGGCGGCGCAAACAGCAAAGGGACGGCCGATGGCTCTGCGGGGCCCAGCTGGCTTGGGGCCCGGCTCCTGCGGGCCGTTGGACGAGGCTGTGGCGGCGGCCGAGGGGCGCGAGGCGCTGGCCCTTGTGGCGACGGGAGCTACGCTGGAGGACGATGAGGAGGACGAAGGCCGCGGCCCGGGCCTGCTGCGCTGGGACGGTTTCTCGGCATGGCTGCACTGCGTGTGTGTGGTGGGCTTCGACCTGGAGCTGGGCCAGGCGGTGGAGGTGAGGCCCGGCCGCACCCTGTCTCCACGCTTCGCCCCCGCGCGGGCGCGTCTGGCTCCAGCAGAGCCTGTGGCCCGCGGGCCGGCCGGCCAAGACCCCAGCTGCCGCTCATCCGGGCGTGGCCCGCAGCCCCTCCGCGGGTTGGGCCTGGCTGCGGTCCGTCCGCTGTTCTCTTGGGAGGATCTTGGGCTGTGGCTAGGGTTGAAACGTGAGCTATAGGCCCCTCCTAAATACTTGTCTTTAAAAAAAAAAAAAAAAAAGTAAAAAAATCACAGGAATAACTGAAAGGGTTAGCAGCACCTAGAGAAGGCAGCAGGCAGGATGTTTGAGACTTGCATGAAAAAGAAACAATATTTTGACGTATGGTGAACTGTAATAGCTGAAATTGAAAAAGTTTTTAGGCGTTTTGTTCGGTTCCTTCTTTTTATTACTCATTTCTGTTATTTCTTAATACTGTTTCTGGAGTAGTTGGCCTGAGGACTTATGTCAAGATGAACATAGGGAAAATAATTTGCTTGTACATCTCAAATTTTCTGTCTTTTTATGTCATCTTATTGATTTCAGTAATTTTTGATAGTGTTTAGGTCCTTTTTTGTAACACAAAAGATTGTCTTTATGTGTTCCTCCTTACCCCCCCCCCAAAAAAAAAGTTATCAAAAGGTCATATATTTAGAAATTTTGTTGTTGTTTTTTCTTTTGGTGTTAATGACAGTTTTTAATCTTATTATGACTTTGGTGGTCTAAATGGACGGAGAAAAAAAAATTGACCAGAACTGCTGCTTTTATATTTAACCTGTCTTCTTGATGTTTTATCATTATACAGTTCAATAAGCATTGAGTTTTTGCTAAGATCTAGGCAATATGCTAGTTACTAGACATATAGATATAATGATATACTTTAACTTGTATATTCTTGTATATTCAAGAATTAATTCAGGGCCAGACACAGTGGCATTCAGTAAATACTTGTTGACAGAATGAGTGAATATGTGAGCAAGACATTGATAGACCATGTATGATTACATTGACATATTAACCTGAAGTTATAGGTACAGTAAAGTAGAATTTAGCCGGAAAGCATAGGATTGGGTGTAGTTGACTGCATTTTAAAATAGCTAAAAGAGATCCTTTTGGATTCTCATCATTTGGAACATTCTTTACAATATGAATATGATTTTGCTTTTTTTTAAATGAAATAAGATGGTTATCATAGTTGAGGTTCTGCAAAAATGTGAATTATTAAAGTACTTATTTTTAATTTCATTTCCCCAAACTGTACAGGGTTTCCTTTAGGTCAGTAGTTCTGAACTTCTTTTGTGCCTAAACCTTCAAAAAATGTGAACACCATGAATTCTCTATTACAAAATGTCTTATTAAGACAAAATTATGTATATGCTTTGATGGACTGTTTGAATTTATTCATGAATCTTCTATTCCAGATTGAGTATCACTGATATTGGAAGGTGTAGGATGAGGGTGGGAAAGATTTCCTAATAAAGAAAGATTAGCAAATTAAATGAGATACAAAACAATTTTGCTTTATTTGTTTCTAAAGGAGGAATGTGGAATATTGTACCTTGCCTCTTTTAAAATGAAAATGGACCGAGCCAATGGTGTATATTTGTAATCTCAGTGACTGGGAGGCTGAGACAGGAGGCTCACAAATTCAAGACTAGCCTCTGCAGTTTAGTGCGGCCCTAAGCAATTTAACAAGACCCTGTCTCAAAATAAAAAGGACTGGGGATGTACCTCAGTGTTAAAGGGCCTCTGGGTTCCATCCCCAATACTAACAAAACAAAACAAAACAAAAAAACAAAAACAAAACAAAACAACAACAACAACAAAAATAACCCCCCCAATCCAAACAAACAAAAACCAGAAAATGAACACAAATTAGTAACCAGTATAAAAACTAGTTAAAAAATGTTTCACTTTTGTATTAAGACCATATCCATGTTGAAATGGATAAAAGGGGTGGCTGGAATGGAAATGTGTAGACTTGTGTTGGAGAAATGACATAGAGTAGCTATAACCCTACATCCTATAATGTACAACCAAAGGGGCTCAAGAGGAATACTAATTAGAGAATAGGTGTAAAGAAAATTTGGAAAGTAATATCCTGGAACCCACCTGTGTTATCAAAAAGGCAGTCATTGAACCTTGGCCTGAGAGAGACTGAGACGACTGTTCTGCCCTGACAGCATATATTGGTAGATTTCTTACAATTGCATAAACTGTGACACTTGGTGGGGGTTGTGGCTCAGTGGTAGAGTGCTCCCCTAGCATGCACAGGGAACTGGGTTCAATCCTCAGCACTATATAAATGTAGAATAAAGATATGTATCCACCTAAAACTTTAAATATTAAAAAAACACAGTGACACTTAACTGAGCTTAAATCCCTACTAAAATGATAGTATGGAATAGTGATCAAGAACCTAGAATCTAGAGCTGAATTGCCAAAATCCATGTGAGTAAGTTACTTAGCTTTTTTTCCTGAGCCTCACATTCCTTCTCTTTATAATAGGACAACTACCTATATCATGGCATTCTTGTGCGAGTAAGGCAAAGTAATGCTTGTAAAGCATTTGGAACAGTGCCTGGGAAACAAATCTATGTAAGTTTTTATTTGGGAAACACTTATTTCCTAGAAATTCCCTTTTTCAGTGAAGAGAATTCCTGACTTTTGCATTCTGAAGTTGGGCCCTAGTTTTATCACTTGTAAAATTGGGCTTACATGTGTGTATTTGGTTGTGGACTACAGAAACTAACTTTTTAAAAACTATATTTTTTTACATGTTGATAGATCTTTTTATTTCATTCATTTATTTATATGTGGTGCTGAGAATAGAACCCAATGCCTCCTCGCACATGCTAGGCAAGTGCTCTACCACTGAGCTACTACCCCAGCCCCTACAGAAACTAACTTAAGCTAGTTCAAACAGAAAAGGGGACCCTGGAGTAAAGGCTATTCAAGTGGAGCTTCGGAAAATGGCTAGAGCCCAGAGCCAGGAAAAAAAAAGAAATCTTGTCCTTTTTTTTTCTCTTTTGTGGGTCTTTTTCATGCTACATTCTTGCCACAGACTGACTTCTGCTTCTCTCTTCTTTTTTTTTTTTTTAAAGAGAGAGTGAGAGAGGAGAGAGAGAGAGAGAGAGAGAGAGAGAGAGAGAATGAGAATGAGAATTTTTAATATTTATTTTTTAGTTCTCGGTGAACACAACATCTTTGTTGGTATGTGGTGCTGAGGATCGAACCCGGGCCACACGCATGCCAGGCGAGCGCGCTACCGCTTGAGCCACATCCCCAGCCCTGCTTCTCTCTTCTTTATGGTGTGGAAGTTGCCCTTTTTAACTGCATAATTGAAGAGTGAATCTTTTATACTTGGAATCTTCCAAACACCAGAGGAAGGTAGCCATGTTTTGAGCAGGTTTCCACTGAGTTACAATTGGTTGAAGACCTGGATGGGTGGGAGAGTGGTTCACCTTGTATTAAATGTCCGTGGAAGGCCCTGTCCTAGGTAAGGGAGATGTTAAGGAGATCTTTTAGGGTGAGAAAAGATTGAAAATTGTGTTGACTATAGGAGATGCACTTACCTTTTCCCCTGAAGTGATAGCATCACAAAATCCTTGTCCTCTGAAATAAGGTTTGAGACTCCCTGGATTTTATAGACTCTTGCACTTCTAGCTTTGAAATTATCTGATTATATAGTAAGGGCTGAATTATCTGAATCCAGAACTGTCTAGTTTATTAAAAAATGTTTTTTTTCTTGAATGATAGTAACATGCTCCTTGTTGAAAACTTGACCCAAAAAGAAAATCTTAAACACTGGAAAATATCCCTCCTAATTCCACTACTAAGAGGGAACTTCTGTTAATATTTGGCATTTATGTTTATGCTTTTTTCTCTTTATAAACTTTTACATTAATTAAGGATCAATGTGATTGTTGTGAACAAAAATCTCATTTAAAAGTAAAGGGAGATTGATTGAGAAGCTTCTAGTCAGTCTCAAAACCCAAGTGCAGGAAGCAAGGATGAACCTCATGGAATTTTTATTTATTTATTTATTTATGCTTCTTTTATTTATTTATTTATTTTTTAATAGTTGTAGTTTGACACAATACCTTTATTTTACTTATTTATTTTTATGTGGTATTGAGGATTGAACCCAGGGCCTCACATATGCTAGGCAAGGGCTCTACTGCGGAGCCACAACCCCAGCCCACTCTCATGGGATTTTGAAAGCCCAGGCTTTTGCTTTTGTCTCTCAGTCTTTTTGTTTCTGCTCCTCTTTGGATGTCTGCTCCATATGCCATCCTGATGCCCCTTTTCTCTGTAAACAGAGCCTCAATTGCTACTCCTTCACTTATGCCTTACTTTAGGTACCTGGTATTAATTTTAGCCAAAATCTACACTTTTCTTTTGGAACCAGTATGAAGCATAATGCAAATACTAGAATATCCAGTTGACTCAGCAAAGGTCAGTACCCTCTTTGGTTCAGACAGCTGTGGTCAGGAGATAAGAGTATTAGTAGTAATAGAGGCCACCTAGGCTTACCTCTGCAATAGAAGCGGACACTTCGATTGCATGGGTTGGGCAGCAGTCCCACAAACATGTACCTGATAAACATTTTCTTTTTTAATATTTATTTTTTAGTTTTCGG